ATCTATTTCTCGCTCCTTTCCATCCAATTAACAGGAAAGATATAAGAAAAAGGAAAATAATTGCTGCAGGTCTAAGTTAAGAAAACTCAGATAATTACTTATCTTTCTCCACACTTCAGTTTAGAAAAGTCGGATGGAAAGAAGAGACATGGATTTCGACCCTTGTGGTCTTCGTCAAGATGGCAATATTAGGTGACTTTAGTATCAACCCCGGATTAGAGGAAAACAGAGTCAAATGACAAGAAAAGGTGCTTAAAATTCTCCATAACTATGTATCACTATCTGGAAAGAAGAATCCGCTTACCACGAAGTCCAACGCGAGGTATAAATCTTCCTTGGTAGGCTGGAAATATCTAGCAAGTAAATGATTGAAATGCATGTAAACTCTAAGCAAAAAATAGAGTAAAAATTTTAATAAATACCTTAAAATGCTCTTATCTTACAAAGTTCAATTTATTTTTCTAAACAAAAAGAGTGTCAAGTTTTTCATGTCAATATTTGTTATTTGATAATTAATTATAACAATAAATCTTTTGTTGTAATATGGTATTTTTCGTAATGCTTTACTAGGAATATAAATTCTTTTTATGATAGAGAAGAAAGTGCTATTTTGTTTCTTTTAAAGTTTATGGACTATTTTTTTAATAAAAATTTATGGACTAGTTTAATGGTGGAACTATCATAATTCGGTAGTGATTTTGGGCCATTTTGTTTTAAGCTACAAAAAAAAATTGGAGGATATTAAAAGTTATAAAAAAAAATATTACTAGTTTAAAGTTTAATTTGGATAGATATTAGGGACAACATTGATAGTTCTTCTATACTTCCAATGAAATATGAGAGAAATGAATAGGAAGGAAAAAGGTAACTAAATAATAAAATCCATCCTTTACATAAACATGGCAACAAAAGAGTCTTATTAAAAATATTAAGGATAGTGTTGTCATTTTAAATGGACAAGAGAGGTAGGCGTAATTTTTGAAACCTTAGGAAAGCCAAGTGAAATTATTAGAAACCTCAGGGGAGGTTTCTGAAATTATCCCGTCTAATTAACATAAACGCATCTATCACACACTTGACTCATGCCATGTTACTGACTTTAAATTCCTTGCATTTAAGTCCTCGGCATTATTGTTGAAGTCATTTTTTCGAAAATAAAGATTTTGGCATCATCCAAGTAGAAATATGATGGATATAAGAGTAGAAATAAATTAAAATCTCAAATTTTGACACTTTTTTATTATTGAGGGACCAATTCAATATTTGAAATAGATAAAGGACCAATAGTCTGATCACTGGAATGGTTAAGGGGCTCCCTAAGTGGTTCACCCCAGAAAATAAAAATCCAAAACTTCAAGTTAGTTTTTAACAAAAACAAAATTTAATATTGAAGTTCAATTATACATAGTGCGAAAAAAAAATCTATGAGTTCTTAAAGTTTTTGAAGACATTACACGTAACAGTATAAATTGCAAACGATCCCATGATTTTTTTTTTTTTTTAAGAGCATGTTTACGTACAATAGTTAGTCTTGAATCTACCGTTACACCAAGAAGACGTTCTCACAAATTTTGTTTTAGATGAATCCACAAAAGTGAATGTTAGATTTTCTATGCATTTGTTGGGGAAATTCTAGTAGCATGGAGCCATTTACGATTCTGACCAATGAACAGAAGTATACAGGCCGTCCACGGTGAATCTGTCATCTTCTATGCTGGACCACGGAAATGGTTAAGCGTGGACTGGATTCAGACGAGAGTATTATGGTCCAACGCCTTTTAGTCAATTGGAAAATGCAAACTTTAAAAGCTTCCCTTCTCAGTTTGTGGTCTTTCTTGAAAGGAAATAGCAGAAATAAAATGAATAACCCGTCAATTCTTGACTTGGGACTGGGTGAGAAGTTTTTTGGTGGAACTTTTTTTTTTCCACATAATAGACTGGAATCAAAATTGGAATTGAAATATAGATTTCAACCCTTATTGTCTTCCTCAAGATGGCAATATTAGGTGACTTTAGTATCACCCTCATATTAGAAAAAATAGACTCAAATGATAAGAAAAGGTGTTTAAAATTCTCCATAACTATACATCACTATCTAGTAAGAAGAACCTGCTTACCACGAACTCCAAGGTGAGGTATAAATCTTCCCAGGTAGGCAGGTAATATCTAGCAAGTAAAGGGTTGAAATGCATGTAGTATCTGAGCAAATTAATAGGTGCATAGAAATTTATTTTGGTCAATTTCTTTCTTTAAGATATATCAATAGATAGCACTGGCTGTAGGTTATTTCTTGCTAGTCGCTGCATACACATACAAGCATGTTTCGATTCATTATTGTTTGAAAATTTTTTTACTTGAATCACAAATAAATTTTTTAATAATTTTTTTTGTTATCTCAACCATTATTTTGTCTCATATACATCATATAATAAGAAAGTGTCATAATAATTATTCTAAAAATGTCATTATCTAACTCTAGAGATAAACGCAATTGGTTCGTTATGCACTTATTTGATTCTCTGACAGTTTATTTTTCTAGTTTTAGGTAGAATTTCATTGTCTTTATCCCCTCCACTGATAACCTTCTAAATCTAAAATAGAAAATAAATATAATGAAACTGGCTCTAGTGTAGTCTAATTAACCTAAACGCATTGATCATACAATTGACTCAAGTCATGCAATGCACTACAAATTCCACGTTTTAAGTCCTTAGTATTATTGTTGAAGTCTTTCGTCGAAAATAAAGACTTTGGCATCATCTCGGTGGAATAACAAATTAATTATTTAATCCAAGGATTGTTGCATTTCAAGTGATAGTGATCTAAGCTGACGAATACCCTGTACGAGTTATACCAAGTTTTCTTATTAGCTGGTTGCTTGGGTTAAATTCCTTTTCAGACAAAATGAGCAGAAGGTGCCAAGTCCAATTTGGGCTCCAATTCGAGGGGAAAAAGACATGTTGGCTGTGCGGCACAACCGCAGGAATAACGCTTTAGACTTCGAAGTCTAATGGATCCTTTTATCTTGATAAAGTAAAATTTACTCTAGTATTGAAAGTAGTTCAATGTTTTTTTCCATATTTTTTTTAGTACAGTATCATTATAACTTTTCATCCGGGCTCTTTTTTATTTGTTTATTTATTTTCAAATTTTTTATACGAGGATAGTAAGTTGTCAAATGTTTCACATAAAGTTAGTAAACATGGAGAAATATACATTTACCCCCCATTGTAGGATAATTAACCATATCTAATTGAGATTGGTTTTTCCCCCCTAAATATGTTGCATTTTATCCTTAGTAGTCAGGGTATAAGGAAATTTTAAAAATTGAGAAAAGTTTGTATAAGGAAATTTTAAAAACTGAGAAAAGTTTATCAATAGTACGTATTGTTGAAAGATAAACAAAATTACTTAATATTCGAATCGAGTTTAACTCAATAAGAAATCATTTGAGTTTGGTTCGTCAATTAATCCAGACAAATATGAATTGCATTTTGCATTCAATAAAGTTTAAAACTCAGCTTGAATTTGATTTGATTAGTATGAATCTTGAAATATATGCAAAAAATTCAATCTACTCAATCTTGACTCAAGTTTGATATGATAAAAGCTTGTTTCAATTCGACTCAATGTATAAGTAAGTTAAAGTTGAACATAATTTTGACTTATTAAAATCACTAAGTTTAAACATTAGATTATTCGGCTTGATTAAATTTTTTTTTTTTTTTACATCCTAAAGCATGGAGTGCTACATTGGATTTATATATTGCATGTTTAGTTACAAAAAAAAAATGCATCTTCTTCTATCCTATATAATGATGTCACAAAAATCATCTTCCGAATCAACTGGTCCCGCATTTCTGCCTCTGTTTGCAACTGGACCGGAATCACTTGTCATTTATGGTACATATTTCTTTTAGTTTAAAGTGTTTAATTATTAATACAAGTAAAAATAAATAAATAGAACTTTTAGCCATTAATTATTCATGGTGCAAAACAATAAATTTGAATATTATGCGAAATTTGAGATGGGATGTATAAATGAAATAAAAAGTGAGAGAAAAATAAGAAAAATAAGTTTAATCAGTTTTTGCATGTTTTCTATTACAGAATTCCTACTACACATCCAACACAATTTCAATCTAATTTGCAAATCATTTCATTTTAAAACTCTTAGTTTTAGTATTTATAACTTGAGGTACAATTTTAAAATTCGAATTATTATAGACCAAAATTCAAAAGTCAAAACGGATGACTAATGGCAATTTGATTATTACTATTGGTAAAATCAGAAACATTGAGAATCAAATTTGTTTTAGTTGAAATATTAGGACCATTTTGGTACGCTAACCAAACATTGATGATTAATAGTGCATTTTTTGCTTTATTTGATTCCGTGAGTTGGGCTTGAGCACAATCACATGTAGGGGTAAATGTAATTTGGTCAACCGAAGGGCCCATTTGGTCGTTTAACCAAAAGATAAACGTGATTAACCCACTTATACCGTAGACTAAATCCATACTAGGGACTTAGACTAAAAACTTGGTGTTTCGACACAATGGCCCATGGAGGCTTAGGTACACTTGCTCAGCATCTTCTCTTCTTTTATCCTTCAATTTATTTTTGTATAGAGATCTTCAAACACATAATAACTTTAGCTTGGCTTGGAGTAGTATCCCTTTCATCATTCCTGGAAATTTGTTATACTCAAAATCAATTTTGCCACATAGAATGCTAAATCACCGGAATTGCTTGTCATATCAATTGCTCAAAAGTAGAAGAATACATAAAAAAAAAAGCTAGTTTCAAATTGTGACAAAATTAAAAACATAGGTCTCAGAGATAGAATCAAGCTATATTAATTCACCAAATTGAGAAACAGATTTTCCAAAACCTTGTCACTTCCTCGTGGAAAAATTTTAACTCAACCCCAAGTATAATGCTCATGTTTTATTAATTGTTTGGCATTCCTCAAGTTTTATTTACCTCTCCATAAGCAATGCAGACACCTTATTTTCTTTTTGTTGCAGCCTTGGTACTGTTGCACTTTATCGCAACTAGCTCAGCTAGCATAATTGTAGCCAACAACCAAAACAACACTGTTGATCTGAATGCTCTTCTTGCCTTCAAAGCCGCCATTTTCGATCCCCAAAGGATCATTCCAACCAACTGGTCCACTTCTACCTCTGTTTGCAACTGGATTGGAATCACTTGTAATGCTCGTCATCACAGAGTCGCAGCCATCAACCTTTCTTACATGGGAATTGTAGCAACCATACCTCCAGAACTGGGAAATCTTTCTTTTCTAGTCTGGCTAAATGTTAGGAATAACAGCTTTCATGAACATCTTCCAACCGAGCTATCTCGTCTGCGCCGATTGAAGTACATCAACTTGGAAGGTAATGCCTTTGAGGGCGAACTTCCGTCATGGTTGGGAGGTTTGAGTGCACTCCAATACTTATCCTTCCGAGATAACGGATTTTCGGGTTCTAATTTCACAAAGTTAGAGACCATCAGGTTGGGTTTCAACTTTTTTACTGGAAATCTTTCCGAAGAATTCAGCGCTCTACCGAAATTGACAGTTTTGGACATTCAACATAACCAACTTGCAGGCCCTCTGCCACAGGCTCTGTTTAACCTCTCCTCATTGCAAATAATTGGTTTTACGAATAATAGCTTATCGGGTTACCTTCCAGCACATATCTGCGATTATCTCCCACAACTTCAAGGGCTTTACTTATCACTTAATAACTTTGAAGGTGAAATTCCATCAGGCATCGGAGAATGCTCAGGACTCCAAGTTTTATCCTTGTCTTACAACAAATTCCGAGGATATATACCAAATGGAGTTTGGAATCTAACCACGCTTACAGAAATATATTTGGGTGGGAACGACCTGACAGGTAAGCTGCCAACTTCAAGCACCAATAGATTTATTGCTTGTAGGGTTGTGAGTTTACATGCTTATGTGTGGAGAAACACTTCAACTTAATGTTTAAGTAGACTGGATATAAGCAATGATTCCTTCTTTTCGGCCCCATTCTGTACGTTCTCTTTATTTATTTCAAACTGAATTGTTAGTTTGCAATGTTTTGATGTTTTTATATGTCAACTTTTTCATCTTTATTTTGTCAAAAAAAAGTAAAATTTAAAATATTCTTCCTTAATCAATCAAAATTTGCAACAGCATTATAAAGTAATAATTAGTTATAGCCGGCAATTGTCATCCAAGACTAATTTATGTAAGTTTATTGTGTAGAGTACAAATTAAGACTGAAAATCCATCATAACCCAATGAAAATTGTTCAAAATCCTTTTTACCCATTGAGAAATTTTCATTGGGTTTAAAGGATTTTGAGACTAGAATCATAATTGCATGAAAAATTTACATCACATACTCAAAGCATGGCGAACACAGAGTGATCTTGGATTAACGCTATGTATGTTAATGGGGCAGAGTTGTCTTTTTGTCATTTCCAAAATTGTCAATGAATTATACCACATGTGAGATACAAAAGTGTTGCCATGCTTTGGTTACAAAAGTGGTGCTGTTGTGACCTAGATTGAGTGAACACAGAGATGATTGAGAGAACCGAAAGTGCGGAGCTTTTGTTATGGTGGGCAGAGTTGGGGAATTGAAAAAGTAACTTGTTAGTGGTAAAAACAGAGGACAATTAAATTTTCAACATTATCATCACAATCACTTAATTATACTTTTTATCATCTGATTAACGTGTTGTCTATGTATTGTCAACCAATAGCACAACAAACTTTCACCGATAACCAACCACAAACAATATAATTACCAAATTCATTAAAATAATATTAAAAAAGCTTTTAAAAGATCAAAGTTTTTTTGTTTATTAAAATTTTATACAAATTTCTTCCATATAAAAAGTGATTTTTTTTTAAAATTGCACGTAAATTGAATGTGCCCTTTATCTAGTAATGCTATTGGTATTCGTACTAATGTACACATGCTTGAAATCAAATATTCATATTGATTAAACTATATAGAGATACAATTAAGAATATTTTTTAATAGGTGTAAATAAAATATATAACTTCTCATTGTCTATTCTAAAAGTAGGACAACAAACAATCTTCACATTTTTTTCTTACCAATTTGATTTGTCAGGTATAATACCTCAAGAGGTTGGTAATCTTAGCAAGTTGGAACAACTAGGCTTGGCCGAGAATAGATTGAGAGATCCCATCCCGCTGAAACTTTTCAATAGTTCAACTGTACGAGTTATTTCTCTCGCGGATAATGATTTATCAGGCGAGCTTCCATCAACTATAGGTGTTTTCTTACCCAATCTTGAGGAACTCCACCTTTGGGGAAATGAATTCACTGGAACTATACTAGGTGCGTTTGCTTCTATAGAATTAGAATTGAATTAGAATCGAAATTCTATAGAATTGGAATTCTATGAATTGGAATTCCAAGTCATTTCAATTCTTTCGTTTGGGAAATACATAGAATTGATACGGAATTTATTTGGAATTCCAAATTCTTTGTTTGTATGAGAGAAGAATTCATTAGGAATTAGAATTGTTTTCAAGAAAATGCATACATAAAATTTTTCTTTTTTTCTTTTTTCTATATAATAATTTCTTTTTTTTTTCTTACATTTAGCTAATTTTTACTAAAGATTTAAAAGAAAAAACCAATTTGTGCCTTTAATAATTTATTTTTTCTCACTCTCATATAAATTTCTTTGGTGAGCATTTCCTTTAGCATGTTTTGATCCATTATCCCTTTTTGTGAAGAAATATTTCCCCATCTCAGCCTGGTATTTTCAACTGTGTTTTGATATATTATAATAAAGCAAAATTCTTTCTTATTTCTAATACTTATGCAAAATTCAAAAAAGATTTCATCAATCATAATAGCTATGCACAACTAAAACTCAAACTCCTCTATTAAGTACCAATGGCATGATAAAAATATGAGAGAGGAAAAGTTGAAGCAATTTTTCACTCATGTGACAATAACTACAAATCAAGAAGCAATATTTCATGAAAAAAAGGTAAGAAAACAATCAGTTACAAATAAATCCTACATATGCAACAAAAACACTTGATCAAATGCTTCGACTGCATAAACCAAAAAGCTAAAAACTATCAGTTACAAATAAATCCTAACTCAAGAGGCCAACTGTATAAACCAATTTCTGCTTCTCCCGTTTCCACCCCTACTCCAACCGCCTCGTCTTGTTTCTGTCTCTGTTTTATGTTCTTCAGTAAATAAATAGAAACTTAAAAACAAAAAAAATTCCAGCCAAAACACATATCTCCAAATACCCCTTTGTTTGTTCATATCAATTCTTCACTTAGGTAGCTGCGCATTGAGCCGTAAGGAGAGTTGATAGCCACGAATTGTATATGTTCAAGCATAACTCTGCAGATCAGAGGTCAAGAGAAAGTACTTCAATGAAGCAGCAGATACAACATAGGTATATTGCTGAGAGGTTTGATGTAATGATTGAGAAGATCATAGAGGAACATCAAGAGACAAGGACGAAGCGTCGGCAAAACAATGATGCAAGTCAACAAATGAAGGATCTACTTGATATATTGCTCGACATATCTGAAGATGAAAGCTCAGACATAAGATTGACAAGAGAGAACATCAAGGCTTTTATCCTGGTAAAACTCATGGCTGCCTCCTCTTGTTTACTTTTACCTTTTATTGTCGCAATTGATTTATGAAATGGAACTAGATTTCTGCAACAAGAATACCGCATCTACTACCATCAGGGTAGTAGGAACTGTAGGACAACTGTAGGACAACTGTTCTAATTAGTGTCAAAATTGAACCGTTATTACCAGGCTCAATAGTTGAAACATGAAAGCCAGAGATAGAGCTATAATTTTCACATCAAAAACCTATTCACAGCATTCTAAGTGCTTGAAAATAAATACCTTTATAAAACCACAGATACAAGGAAGACTGAAGTGACGATCTTCAGCCTTTAAGCATGCCCAACTTCATATCAGCCCACAACTTTGATATCAAGAAGAATGCACCGACTTCACTTAAATGCAGGGCAAGGTTAAACAAGCCTTCCTGTAACATATTAGGAACAATCAAACACATTTAAATATACGCTAAGAGAGAGTGTGTGAGAGAATTTATGACAGCATTAAATAGTCCAAAACAAACATTCATCACATTCCATGTCCATTGACGAGAATTTAGCAGCCTTGAGCTGATACATAAAATATTTTTCAGGCCCTGACAGCAAGTTTTTCAACAGCCACTGCAGTATAGAACTAAAAATTCGCTCTGTCAAAGTAAATTTGTGATTCCTTCTATGATTCTAGATACTAAGTTAAGAAGAGTAGAACTGGTTTTAAGAAGATTTTTTAATCTGACACTTGGTCATAACAGCCAACAGCCTTGGAGTGTGAACTGGAGACGTTATATACTTGATCATAACAGCCAACAGCCAACAAATTTATGCGTATTGGTGAAATAGATTTTGTTAATATAATACAAGTTTTAAAGAGATGAATTCTATCATATACGATAAAAGCAAAATTGATTTTTCATTTTCTTATGACTGCAGGAAGATAGTGTTACTGAAACGAACCTTCATTTTTTTTCACGCAAACTGTTTATGCTTTATTAGGATGTGTTAAAACTTTTGTGAATATGAAGACTACTTCCTCGGTAAGAAAGTGAGTTCCAATTTGTTAGCTACTACTAAGAGCAAAGAATATGCAGTCTAAAAGGTTTAAGCTATGTTGATCTTTAAGTAAAGCATTTTTCACCTTTTTTTCTTAATATACATTTCAGCAGCCATTGGCCAGGAAAGTTGATAATTAAGCTCTAAGGCTCAGAGAACTAAATTCAGCACTCCCTCATTTTCTCTCCTCAATCTCACACAACACACACACAAGAGAGAATTAATGGAGGAGATCCAACATTTCAGTCATGAGCATCCCTTGATATTGAGCAAACTCAAAGACGATGAATTCTCTGATGAGAAAATTAGTCGTTGCAGAGGCTGTTCACTTAAAATTTTGCCAGGATCAACCTTTTATTCATCAATATCTAGGTATGTTCTTCATATTACACACCATCCACCATAAGAAACAAAAGGGATCACAAAATTCCATTCAAATACAGATCAACCAGAATTTCATTCAACAATTTACTTGTCTAAAGACAAAACAACACCAAAAATTCAACAAGAAAACACTAACAAAAAGGTTCCCTTTTCATATCATGATTAATCCTTTCAACTTTTACAGTATGAGCTCTCCAATTTTCATCAAAGTTCAAGGGAAAATAATCAATCAAGTGACAGTGGACAATCAGAGCAACAATGGAATACTAAAGTAATGATCAATGAATTTTGCCAAATTGGTAATGAAATTTCATTCTTCACTCATCGAATCAATTCTCAATTCATTCACTGGAAGGGAAGGGGAAGACAGACAGAAACTAATTAAAACCCCATAATTTCAACCTGTGTTATGCAGTGGCCAGCACAAGTGGAGGAGGCGGCGGCAGGAATGCTCCAACAGAGCGTTAGATATGGCGATCGATAATGGGAAGAGAAGAGAGACGTTTGAGTTTTTTCCATCAATTTTATAGTTGACCCATTTTTGAGATTTTACCCGTAAAAGACCCGCGTATTGACCCGATTTAAGAGTTCAAGCGTGGAATTGGAATTGGAATTCTTTGGTCCAGCCAAAGAATTGAAACTACGGAATTCGATGGATTTAGAATTGCAATTCAATTCTAATTCTATAGGAAAAATAATACCCAAACACAAGAATTGAAATTGAGGTTTCAATTCCAATTCTATACTCCAATTCTATGGAGAACCAAACGTACTATCTCAAATGCTTCTAGGCTCAGAATGCTAGACCTTGGTAGTAACCATTTTACAGGTGCAATTCCTCATTCTCTGGGAAACTTGATATTACTGGAACATTTAGGTATATCGGGAAATGATTTTTCTGAGGCCTCGCTATCCAAAGAGTTGAGCTTCATCATATCCCTGTCAAACTGCAAACATTTAAGGAGTTTGTGGATAGGTGAGAATCCTCTGAATGGCTTCCTCCCAAAGTCTATCGGAAATCTTTCCAGCTCACTCGAATCCTTTCATGCAGGTAGTTGTGGAATCAAAAGTGAAATTCCAAGTTCGATTGGTAATTTGAGCAACTTAATAGAACTATTCTTTCAAAACAATAGTTTAACAGGGTTAATTCCAACTACAATCAACTGGTTCTTGAAGCTTCAGAGGATAGATCTAAGCGACAATCAAATACTAGGTGCTATTCCAAGTGAGTTTTGCAATTTGCTGAACTTAGGAGAATTAAGACTTGGACAAAATATGCTCTCTGGTATGGTGCCTTCTTGTTTAGGAAACGTTACAACATTCAGATATGTTTATCTCAATTCTAACAATTTAGGTTCTATGATACCAACAAGCTTTTGGAGCCTCAGAGATATTTTGGAGATAGACATGTCAGGAAATTATTTGACAGGCTCTTTGCCTGCTCAAATTGGAAACTTCAAGGCATTAGTCTATTTGAACCTTTCAAATAATCAATACTCGGGTGGCATACCTAGCACCATTGGAGCACTACAGGATTTGCAAGAACTCTCCTTGGAACGTAACAATCTACAAGGATTGATACCAGATTCCATCAAGAATATGTTGCAGTTACGGCATTTGGATCTATCTTTTAACCATCTGGAAGGTGAAATTCCCAACTCATTACAGGTACTATCAGATCTCCAATACTTTAATGTGTCTTACAACAGATTGAGAGGACCGATTCCTCATGGAGGGCCATTCGCAAATTTCACGAACCTATCTTTTCTCTCAAATGAAGCATTGTGCGGCGCTCCATGGCTCCAACCTTGTACAAGTACATTTGAGCATGAATCAAGGACAAAAAGAATAGTCATGATTGTTCTGTTGGCATCAGGTTCTGTCATATTAGCCTTGGTGATTTCAATTTTTTTGATGCGGTTAAAGTTGAGAAAGAAAACTCTAGCTGCGACTCAGAACTTGCTTCCCATGGCGACATTTGAAAGGGTGTCCCTTCACGAACTTAGACAAATAACAAATGGATTCAGCGTGAGTAACTTACTTGGCTCGGGGAGCTTTGGTTCAGTTTACAAGGGAATTCGTGAAAATGGGATGGTTTGGGCCATAAAGGTATTCGATTTACAGCTAGAAGGTGCATTTAAAAGCTTTGATAGAGAATGTGAAGTCTTAAGCTGCCTTCGTCATCGAAATTTAACTAGAGTAATTACTGCTTGCTCTAGCCTTGACTTTACGGCTTTGGTGCTCGAGTACATGCCCAATGGAAGCCTTGAGAAATGGCTTCATGTAAACGATCATGTCCTAAGTATCATGCAAAGGTTGGATATCACGATAGATGTGGCTTCCGGTTTGGAATATCTCCACTATGGTTATTCAACTCCTATAGTTCATTGTGATTTGAAACCTAGCAATATTCTCTTAGATCAAGACATGGTTGGTCATGTTTGCGATTTTGGAATTGCAAAGTTGTTAGGAGATGGAGAATCTGTGGTACAAACAAAGACTCTTGCTACATTTGGATATATTGCCCCAGGTGACTTTTCTTGACTCAAATTTCGAAAATTTTGTATCATTCAAATTAATGTTTCAACTTTCAACATAAATTTGCTGAACCTTTTAAGAAAAAACATAAATTTGCTGAACCGATACCAATACTTGACTTTAACAACGAGTTTCAAATTTTGATGTTAGAGTATGGACTGGAAGGATTGGTTTCTACAAGTTGTGATGTCTATAGCTTTGGAATTACATTGATGGAGACATTTACAAAAAGAAAGCCTAAGGATGAGATGTTTATAGAAGAATTAAGCCTCAGGTGTTGGATACAAGAATGCTCACCAGATTCTGTGATTCTTCAGGTTATAGACGCAGACTTGCTTCATCCTGAAGATAAAACGATACAAAGGAAGATTGAATGCATATCGTCTATCTTGCAACTTAGTTTAAGTTGCACGACAGATGCTCCTGAGGAAAGAATAAACATGAAAGAAGTTCTAAGAGCGCTACAGAAGATCAAACTTCAATTTATCAAAGATGTCAAGCCTTGAAGCAGGTATAAAACCAATAATCAAATGGCAACTTTTTTCTTCAATCATATGGTATCAAAAGCTTATTCCAAGGATTATTATTCATTCAAGTAGTACTTATGTTTTTCCACTCAATACATGGCAGAGCCCTGAGGTGCAAATGTATTTGAGGAATTTTTTGTCCTGACTTGGTGCACCACCGAAATGCTTATATGTTATGAAGCGCCAAGCATTTTACTTGGTGTTTATGTTTGACATATATATATATATATATATCACCATGTAGAGGTACGCATAAGCATATGTATTTGTACATATAGAACATGCGTATGGCATGCAGATTCATGCATTTATTTTATTACAAATTACACATTTTAAAGGTGCAAAGAACAGCGATGGTAAAGGAGTTTTATGTGCAACAATTACTACTTAATAGAAATTAATAGCACCTTTTCAGGGTAAAATTGAAGCTTATATTTGTAATTATTGTTGAGGATGGTTGGAGGTTGTACTATTTCCTCAAGCTAGAAAATGGTGGGAACATTTGTTAAATATCTCAATTTTGAGAAATTCCTCTGACGAAGCTCTGCACTGGATTGTTGGTGATTTGGGAACACCTCATTCCATACATTCCTTTAACATTGGAAATAACAAAAAATAAATAAAAAAATCAGCATGTTACAGCAAAAAGTAGCCAGTAGAACATGAGCGCTGAGGCAATCAGCAATGCATTGCGCTGCCTCTTTATGATGGATTTCTGGTGCCACATGAGTTCGGCCGAGGTGCACGACTCGAGCGATTTACAACTCGGACGAGTTTCATACTTTCAGGAGATATCCAACAGCAAGAACAAACAAAACGAGACCATCGTCAGAAATGACTTTAGGAGGCTCCTTCTTATGGATGTTAGACGGCCATGTAACACCATCACCGCCTCTGAAATGCCCCCAAAAGTTTTCTAGCCAATTGAATATTATGTATAAGTAAGGGGTTATTTTATAAGTCTGATATAAATTTGAGTGCCAAAGTGCAAATTGATATGGATATATACAAGAAATTGGAAGAATTTTGTGTTAATAACCAAGAACACTGGGAGTTCTAAATCAGTTTTGTGACTAACAGTCACTTCCACGCAGCTTTGGAAAATTAGGCATCACTTGGTGTAGAAAAGTCAAAATTGAGTTCCATCAATTGCATTTAAAACTAAATTCAAAAACCTTTCTAATGGTATAAAATTTCATCTTCGGTTTGTTGCCTGTTAATACCAGAAAATTTGCAATATTGGTTGAAAATCAGAAGCTGCATAGTTAAGGACTAAAAATTGCACTAAATTATGGTCCAACTTAAGGCCCCCTATTGATGGAATCGCTAAATGATTCCTCTGAAGATATTTAGTAGTCTGAGTTTAGTTTCTAATGCTACCAATTTTGTAGTGATTCGATATATATATATATAACCTGAGTTATGTGTAGGACTGCATTTGCTGAAATTCCTAACCTACACTGCATGGGAGCTGGAAAGTGTACTAATTTTTTTATTGAATTTAAACTAGTGTATGATCCAAACCTTTGAGATGTGTCTTCTAATGATTGTTAGCACTTCAAGTCTACTTTGTAGCAGCACAAATTTTACAATTTTTTGGCATATATAGCTTTAGCTATGTCCATTCAATTGAATACTGCCGTTGTTGAATTTCTTAAGTAAGCACTTGTACTTTTAGGCGTTTCGAGTGATTGAATTGTGGGTACGGCCCTATCACGTGTTTAAAGTGATCATAACATATTCTTTAATTGAAAGACAAAGTGAAAAGAGGACAAGATTCACAAATTATAATTAAAGAATAATTAAATATGAATTCATGCATAGTTATGCATTATATATGTAATACACATGTATTATGCTAATTGTGATTTAATTTTGTGAAATAATTTTATTAAATGTTATATATCTTATTAATATGCTTGATTCAATAGCGATACTGTTGGGCTACTTACTGAGCAAGTGGATGCTCACTCCACTTAATTTCCTCCCCTGCAGATAAGAATCAAATCTAAGAAGGCTTGAAAACTAGTTTTGATCATGCTATATTCTTAGAGTTAAGTTTTGTTAAATTGTAGCATGTACGCCTTTTGTACTCTGGTTATGTATATAAATTGTGAACTTAGAGTAAAATGTACGAGTGATTTTTTACATTTCAAACTTTTGTAAGCGTATTCGAAGATTTATATATTTATATAATTATTGATTTGTATTCGAAGACTTTTGCTAGGCAACTTTGTATCCTCTCAAGAGGGTAAATTAGTGTCACGCTTTAAATTAAAAGTTAAATATTTTTAAACACATATCAGATTTGAGGCGTGACAGCCTCTGCTGCTGTGACATAGCCTAACACTATCCATTCTAGTGCCATGTTGAATTAGAATAACAGAAATGAAAAAAATATATATAATCGGAATTTTTCTCTGCTCGAAAAATTGTTTGTGGGCTTTTTCCTGCAATAAAATTTTTGTAATTAGGGGGCAGTTGACAAGGTTGATTGATAATTTGAAGAGAAGGAAAACGTCCAAATAGAGGAGTTTTAGAAGTTGACAAATGAGAGTTATCGAGGTTTTTGGGTTGTGACACATCACATGTTTAAATCAAAGTAGCACATTTTGGATAGAGAGATATTTTGGATAAATAGTCCTTTAATTAATTTGAGCTAATGCATAAATCTCTTATTAAAAAAATCTACAATAATAAGTTGTCAAATGAATGAAGAGTAGATCAAATGAGTAGCTAGATGAATGGAAGATGGTGTTTTAAGCTTTGAACTCCAACCGCTGATCAAATGATACAAAAGTACAATAAAAAAAAGGGGGGGTTCTTTTCATTTGATTATTTGAGCTAATTTTAGATTTTGATTTTGAAAAGTAATTTTTTAGATGTTCTTGTTGACTTTTGTATTTAGGATTTAAATTTTTTCAATAACAAAGAAAAAGATCAACACAAAAGTAAATTTAGCTGATTTTGATTAATCAACACTTTGCAAAACATAGAGCAAGTAAAACAGCTCCGAAATCAAGTGTATTTTTTTTTTTCAATACAAAAAACGAAGCAGCCTATTTACTGGCGCTTTTTGTGGGGTTAATAGATTGCACAAATGGGCTTTTATCTTTAATTTGTATGGACAGTTGAACAGAGCAAAATCATCAAGTCAAACTTGCCAATCGGGAATTATTCCATGGGCTTCAAATATAAAATCACAAAACCGTTTATCTGGGCCATTCCATCTCCACTTGAAAAGCCCAAGAAGGGGAAGCTAATGTATCTCAAAGTTAACTTAATCGACTGATTTTTCAGATTTGTCCTTGTCTTACAAACTCGATAATGGGCAAAAATGGTGACTTCCTTCGCTCAATTAAGTCTGGATTTTGCAGCAATCTTGACTTTGTTTTGCTAAATGAAGGTGAATTAGTATAAAGTTGAATAAAATTGCATGTCAAATTAAAGTCTTATTTGATAATCCAATTCACCGCTTAAATTTAATGGGTCAAAACCTTAGAATATTTAGAAATGCTCGATAACAAAAATAGAACATTTTAATTAATCAAGTGGTTCTTAATTGTTTAAGCAAAACTTACTTCAAAAATAAGTAATAAACTGTTTACTTATTATTTAATACAAAATATGCTCAAATGTTAAGATTCCAATAATTAACAATTCAACCACTTAACTGATTCATATTTCAGATTCAGATTTTAGATTTTAAATTTCAATTTTATCAAATACATTCTAAGTTTAATTCTTGCAGTCTCTCCACCCTACCCTTATTATTTAGAGAATCCAATACTCGTTTTCCCTCCATGTAAAGGAAGAAATTGATTGAAATCGTCACCTCTAGGTAAAAATGACCACTAATAACATCAAAAGCGGTATATGAGTTTTCACTTACCAATCAGTATGAAGTCGTCTACAGGTCAATGAAGTATCAAGTTCAAGCTCCACTTAAATGTACCCTCCAAAAAATCGCTTTTATTTTATTTTATTTTTTCTTTTTTGGGCCTAATTTGTCAATTGTCATGTTTGGATCACCATTTTGAACTGATTGATCCATGTCCCCCACTTTGGAGATTATAATACACATGATACTTACTACTTAGATTTGTTAGCCTTAATTTGATTTGTCCTAGATTTGTATGAACACTGGAAGAATAATCCACATAAAGAAAATATAGTGGATATGTGAGAAAAGAGAACATTCAGCACACTTCAAGTAGACTTCCCACCGGTCTCAAGGTCTTCATTTTCATACCCGCTGCATCCATTTTGAGATTGTCTTTTTTTTTTTTTTTCTGATTATTGTAACCAATTGCAGCTAAAAGTAGAGGGAATGTGGGAATATTGCCTTGATTCTTGTCAGAGCCGTTATTTAAATATGCATGCCTGATTTCTTAATTGGGTCAAACTTTTGAGTTGGTTAAGGACAAGAGTATTAATTCGGCAACACAAAAATTAATAAACAAGAAAATTCAACCTCAAATCTGTTCAGGATTTGATGACTTGAATACCCACTTTTTTTTTTTGTGGGCTTCACATATTCAAGAAAGTAGTTGTGCTCTTGCCCCAATAATTGGGCCTTGCCTAAATTGTTCTAGTCACTCAACTTTTTGAACTGTAAACTGAGAATCAATTAATTTATTCTTGACAGGCGCACATCTGATAGATAACTTGCACATTGAAATACAAATAATATAGTAGAGAAAATATGTATTTTAACAACTGAGGACATACTTGATTCCAAATTCCAACCACAAGTATCAGTTAAAACTCGTCAATGTGGTTCTATACTCACAAAAATAACCTTGAGAGGCAACATGTGCCAAATATGAACCTTAAGGAACTAAGTTGGGGCAATCCCAAGGGGAAGGCCATGACTACAAATTGGCTAAACTTCTAATAATGCATCCAATGCTTCTAACTTACAAGAAATCTCTAACAAAAATGAAGAGTAAAAGGCAACAACCTCTTGTTTACCAAGG